TTACAGTCAGGTTATGTTTGTGTATGCGCGAACCAAGTATGTTCCCAATCTGTCCTGTGTAACTTCGACGACGGTTTAGGCATGGTACGCGGTACACCACAACCGAGTGCTCATTCGGATTTAATCGGTCGTTAATTTTTCATTACGCGACTACGCATGGTAGCTTTGGGACAATGTGCAATCCCGAGGCCCATCATCTATATAACGAGTGAATATAGTCGAAGATTGTGTCCATTTATGCACAATGGGGCTCTATTCTTTCGTATTGGTTGTATTTCTCATTCTAACTATCGCGTGCAAATATTTGGTTATTTAAATAATTATTCCTATAATTATTTACTTTCACCCGCTCTACTTTTTTAATTATTTTTCTTTTCCCCCGATATGTCCCCACCCATTTAACCTCTATTACCACCTGTTTCTTAGTACAGAAGGATGAGGCTTTCGTGTGCTGTCGTGGACCCTAAACTGAACTTTTATCAGTAAGATAAAAAAAAAGTAAAAGTAGAGAAAATTCGATTCCCAGGTAGTAAGTCAGAAGGAGAAAGGGCGTTAACCGGGAAAGGTTTACTTTTTTATCTGACTTTTCGGATAATTATCTCGTCTATCCATCTTCATGTCTTAAACTTTGAGGCCGTCGAAATTGTGGGCCGAGATGACGATCACACGTCAAGGCAGGTTAAAGAAGCCTGGATGTCGGTAAAACGCCACATAAATTTACCGGCTCCCTATGTTGTATTTAGAACATTCTTATCTGGGGACGACCATGGCGCGGAACAATCAAGGCCATCAACCAGTGATCCGGTCGACCTGCGTATCCACGAGACAGGCTATGGGATCTGATTGGTAGGTGTGATGAGGCCATGCACTCCGAAGATTCATGTATCGACCGCCACATAGAGTTAGATCGTATCTACAAACGCCCCAAAGAACGGCGGAAGAGACGAAGGCCGCACAACACCTACCAATCAGATTTCACACTAATTAACCATTGGTTTTTTTCGCATGTTTGCAATTTTAGTTGTTTATTGCACATTTCTTCTTAGTCTGAAGACGAGCTGGGGAACCAGACTCGAAAATTCATTGATTAAAGTTACCTTTATATTTCAAAGAACGTTTTTTTTCTTTCAAAGAGTATTCACTCTCTGAAGATGGATAGACGACACGACTATCCGAAACGTCCGATAAAAAATAAACCTCTACCACTGAAAGAAAAAGTGATCGGAAGTACCGGACGAAAACTTTACGTGTTCGTACGGGAATAGAAGACACTCGAAGAAAATACACCCACCTTTCGAGATAACATCCTCAGAGAGATCCATTTCAGGCATACGAACAGTGGAGGCTTGCGAGGCTGCATTGTTGTCCGCATCCGCGTCCAGCATAAAGGACTGCAGAGAAATGCAAAATAAGGCATCAAGAATTAAATAGTTTGGTTACGAGGTCCATAGGTGGCGCATGAAGTGAATGCCACGCGAGAATAGTTCTTACAATCAAATCGACTCGCGCTCAATTTAACTCACTCTCTCTGCAACCGCTCAATATCTCGATGACATGACGCAGTCAGGCAGAAGGGCGTGAGCGAAATCTCTCCAAACTATAAACAGCGCGGCTACACAAGACCCAGTTCCCATCTCGACATGCGTCCGGTTCCAAAGAAGACAGAGTCCCCGATCTTACACACAACGGTGAGGCCACATTAAAAAGGATTCATCAGATCTAGATGCTCAGTCCTGACTGTGATGAAGTTTTCTGTTATTTACAATTTCCCAAGCCATGGCTGGTAATTTTTTGCCACGACACATGTTCAAGGCGCGTCTATTTTCTCACATGGGGAGCTAAATGCCACATCTGAGTTGAGTCAGCCTCCATCTCCCTTCCCTGTATCTCACGCACGGGTTTCCTGTTTTTATAAAGACGACGGGTGGTGAGAGAGAGACTGGAATGGCCATTTACAGCTTATTTCCCGCCTACACTTGGTCAGTCCCCAATCTCGCGAGGAGGAGAGCTAGCATAAGTATGCGGAACAATTTGAGTAATTCAGTCGAACGCTTTGCCGGTTTAGCTACGGTTTGACTGCCTGTTAGTTGTTACTAGAAATGTGAGAGTGACTCTCGTCAAACCGGTTGCGTTGCATTTATGGAATGCGGAGGTTCCGTGGTTGGTGACGACGGCAGTGAAGCTAGAAACTGCATTTCCAGGCTTTTGTGTCTTCCGGGCTGAGCCGGAAAAGGTTTATTGCGGAGGAGTTACTCCGTCTTTGCGTATTAATTTTCTCTAAAACGAAACTAGGCAGGATGGAAACTGGAGTGCATATACCAGAAAATACACGAGGAAGAGCGGGTGGGAGATAAACTGACGAGCCGAACTAGTGGTATGCAGCGGCACCACCGTGTCTAGGCTATTCGGCGTGGGAAATAATTACGTATTTCAGTATCGATTCTTACTCAATGCAACCGCCTGAAAGTGCTAGAGATCGAAGCAGCAAGGCAAGTCGGAACGTAAGTACCCCATCCTGCAAATAGGTCAGATCCGTGAACAGCAATCACACGAAGACAAACTTTAGACAGTTCCGGGTAACTGCAGTCAAATACGAACTTTTAAAAGGTTGCCGGCAACAGATAAATGCGCACAGCCAAAAATCACAAACGGAAGGTCAAAAATGTGAGCCAAAAGCAGAATAACAGCGCCGTAGGGCACGTGACAAATTGAGGGGGTGGAAATGCAGAAGGGGGGAAAGGGGTGGGGTTAACAGAGTAGAAAAAACTTGCTTCTGAGAGAGGGTTTGTGCGTTCGGAACAGAGGAGACAGACAAATTGGCCCTCCGTTTGCTGTCCGACGGACTGTAAAAAAACCAGGAAAAACAACGTAAATAACGGATAGGGCCACAGGATCAACAACAAACCAACCAAATATAACGGATTTCGGTAAAAAAAGGAAAGCAAATCTCGACAAAACAACCGCAAAATATCATTCACCAAACCCAAAGTCTACACCACCCTCTAATGGCAAAATATTTGATTATAAAGTAATCAAAAAGCATCAGAATACAAAAATTCAGAAATCGACAGGTATTCCCCAAGGAAGGGGCTTAAACAGAACGTAAGAAAGACAGACGGGAGGAGTATCCCAAACGCCGAACTCAAACAGAGCAATGACCTGAACCTTAACCAAACGAAATTCAGAGGTGTCATCGTCCGTTGAAGTTGCAACTTCATACAAGGCAGGCATCTGAGATACGCGGGGCAAGACAGAGGTATCTTCTACATACTGGGCATTGATGCGCACCAATTCCTCGAATGAACTCTCTCCACTCACCCCGCCGTGTAGGCAGGGCCTGCACTTTGGTGAGCTGGGCCAGCAAAAAGGCTCTGCCGCCAGGGGCGCAGTAAAGTCGAGGAAAAATTGCTGCATGGTAAAAGCGGAGTTATGAGTTGTCTACTTGACCGTCCAGAAAGGGTGTGAACCAATCAATTTAAGGAAAACACAATAGTGAAGACAAAAAGAATGACGGAAGGAAGATGACATCAGTCTCGATCACACAGTACTACTCAACGACGCCTGCTATATGCAGTAAAAATTACTTGAAATTCATAAATCAGTTCAAGTGAGACAGACTGCTTCAGTGGAGCCGCAATGCAGGAACGGACAAAATAAATTTCAGAAAGAAAAAATGAAATCACTGGCGCTGACTGGCAATCAAAAGTGTATCGCACAATAGTAGATTGCACGATAATAGCTCTCTAAAACAGTAAAGCAGCAGGGAAGAAGCCATGTTCAGTAATGTGACGGCAGACTAAAGGATAAGAACAGACGATGCATTTTACTTGGTGATTAATCCGAAACTAGAGACCTTGCAGGTGGTCGAGCAGGCGCAAGAAATGAACAATCGACAGAGGTGCGCCAAAAAGGGCTGAAAATCTGCCATACATCCTACTGTAGGCTCTATTCCAACTTCGGCTAAGAGCTACCAGCCGACAATTAGGTCTTTCTACTTACCTGATACGGCTTTGAATACGCCTGCTCCAGAAAATTCCGTATTTTACAAAGATAACTCGCGAATTTTTGATAAAATGGCTCCAAACATTAGCGCCCTGATTCTGTATTTCAGTTTGGTTCGTTGAAACCTAAACTAAGGACAGCCGCGACAAGGGGACCTATCCACTGTTTAGTCACAACGACAAAACGACGTGCCGTTATCAGGTTTTACGACATGTTGTGCGGTAATCGGCAGAACTGGGTCCCGACGTTGGGTCAAGGACCTGGTTAAGGTTAGCTAGTAAACACGATTCACACCTGCTGGACGAGACCTCTTGCCCGAGTGTACTATACAATCACCTCAGATGAGAATGAGGAAGTTGGTAAGCTCATATCCTCATCTATTATGCTTACTGCAAAAAAGGATGCTTTTCAGCTACTGGTACAGTTATAGGAAATACGAACCTACTATGTTTAGTTAATTCTGGAGCCTTTTGCGTCCTCATTTAGACAGGAGACGTTCTGTAAATTCCGAGTCAGAAATAAAAACTGTAGCAAGTCTATATTTAGCCTGAAAGCGACACTACCTCGCGACGTAACGACATTTTAGAACTTGAGCTATTAGTGAATAACGTTTCTCTAACCCAATATGGCTTGGGACTGCATACTAGGTACCGATTTCGTACATGCACGTGCAGGCCGTATTAGAATATGCTATCTAATGGTCTTAGTAAGTATGATTACCAGAATTAGCATTTCAGAAGAAGATGCGTCCACTGGAACAAAATTTTAATTTTCCTGACGTTTCGGATTCCGTCGGGAATTCTTAATTATAGGTAATGGTAGGATAATCGGAGCCATGCGCAGAATTAGCATTCTTAACAGTTGCATATTACTTCTAGCAACAGTATCCTAGTCCTTGTGGACCAAAGTAAGTAGAATCTGACACTGCTTTTTGTGGATAGGGGGTGAAAGGGCGGAAATCAATGCAAGCCCTGATGTGCTCCGGGTCTCAAACTTGTATTTACTCGGAATATCGTAAATCCTGGTTCACACTCCTGGTTGAGATCGCAGGAACACGAGCCCCAGCGTTGACTTTAATCATCTTCACCTCTGACTTATATTAGCGCCAGCAAGAGTACCAATACTACTACCATTCAGCTGCATTGCTAGTTAGTTGTAATAGAAATAGTATTAGTAGCAGCAGTATCAATCCCGGTCTACTTGAGTCTGTCTTGAAATCTGCTGAAGGTTATTAAGGTAGGTAGTGCGGTAATACCAGTGCAAAAATATACTGCCACTTAAGACAAATTCACGCGGTGCTGTGACCTACATTGGAGAAAGCGGCCAACGATGGACTCCGTCCGGTCATCTCGACTCTGTCTTGTCACCGACTGAGGCGGGTGAACGTGAAGAGTGCGGTAAACAGTTGTGCGTGTACATTTACTTAAAACGAACCCCTATATTCAGTCACCCTGTTTGGAGCACATGATGGACTTCATCGAAATCGATAGTCGATCACACACGAGAGCAGAAATAAACCTACCAATGTGGACCGCGGGGTGACAACTTCGTCAAATGTCCCACAGTCTCGAGCGGACAATTGCTCCTCCTTTGTGGAATCACAGAGGGACAGGTTGGTTTGGTCCAGAGATACCGACCAGTCTGTGAGGCGCTGATTCTCTGTCAGGGGGATCGGTACTGACAGGTTGGGAATAGGGCTATTGGAACCCGTGAGCTGTGCACTATCGTCAATGCGGGACTATAGAAAAATAAGATAGGAGGCGGTAGGTGATGTCTTCTTGAAAACAAGTGCAAAGAAACTCGTGCTGTCCTCGCAATGATTAAACTACCCGAAGCAGTGCTCGTTACTGTGACTTGCATTTATGGAAAAAGGGCCTCCATTATATAAGTTGATCAGGTTCTATACGAAATGGTTTATCGCTTAGACGGCAAAACCTAACTCGACCGAATAAAATTTAGATAGGATATGGTAAAAAGATACAGATAATACGGTGCTAAATGCTATAGTTAAAATCAGGGATAGAGTTATATCGATGCCTCCAGGGGAGAGGATCATAATGATTTTTTTCAGAACCTGAGACTTCTAACAGCCGTAACAAGTACAAGTAAGTAAGTACTTCTAACTGCTATCCCCAAGCTCAAACTTGGTAGTTCATGGGGTGGCCACACAAAACACTGCAATACACAGATACGAATTTCTGCTTTTAACACTTGTATTTGAATTCCAGCATAACATTTGTAGGAAATGCGCACATAACGGGGACTAACGAATTTACTGACCATTGAGTGTTAGTCAACATAATAGTCTTTCGCGTTTACAGGTCTCAAATGGTCTTAACCTAGGTGGTCGTACGTCTTCCTGGACCTTGACGTATAGCGCATAGCTATAGAGGAAGGAGACACTACGTATAGGCGCGGAACCCTCAACCTCACGAAGCCAATTTTCCAATCAAACATTTCCCTTTTCGCCGGTGAATGTAGATATGGGTTTAGGTAATAACACACATTCCTTCGACAGTGAAAAATGCAGTAGAGAAAATTGAGACAAGATTACATATGTAGACAGTGTGTGTATGTGACCACCGTGAGCCCGGAAAAGCGGAGAAATAGGACACAGAAAGGTAAAGTGTCAACTCACCTGTTCCCGGGGTCCTTCCGGTTGAAAAGCAACTGCATTGGACTGTCCAGATTGCCTGAAGAGAAAAAAGCAAAACTTTTGATTGAAATGCACGCGTGTGTGTGTGAACATTTTTTTAAAGGAGCAGATACACAGCCTTGCCACCCATTTTAAGATTTTCTTCAGGAGGCTTTTGACTTGGACACAAACACTTGTTCGTGTACACATCCCTCCAATTTTCGCAAATATTCCAAGAACAAGGCTTGCTACCCTCATCTGGTCGCAGTCTACGTAACCGTGGGTTTCCTCTGTGTTGCGGATCACTTAGATGTCCTGCATCTCCCGCAGCCGTTGCTTTACAAGGCTTTGTTGGTGTCGTTACGTTGGTCCATGTAAGCTTTGTATAATCTGTTCCTTTCGACGAGTAGGCCGCTGCTA